AGATCACTACACACTGGACATTACTATCTTTGGACTACACTGTTGATTATACTCACGGTGTTTGAGGTTTTCGTCAGCCTCAGGCCTGTTCTATACATATTGTCCATCAGCGCTGCACTTTTCACTTTTTCTATATTCAGGTTTTTTTAGGTTTCCTTTAGTGTATTAGCTGCTTCTATATATTGTTCTTAGCGCTTGCTGGACCACCTTTTTATATGCATGTTTTTATTCATGTTTATGTGAATTTGTTATGGGTGTTTGTGTGTGTTTTTTTTCTGCATAGTTTTTTTGTTTTAAAGGCATGTTTCCTTTGAAGTAATTGTTGTGGGTGAGAGGCGAGTTGTGTTTTTGCATGTTTACATGGATTTATGTGCATTTCTGGGTGCCATTATAAAAAAAGGGATGTTTATAGGGGTGTGGGAGCACCCCAACAAATACAGATTAAATTACAATGAAGCTAAAAGGGAATTAATGCCTGGGTCTGTTACATCAAAGCATTATCCATCATCGGCAATGACCCATGGATACATAAAACACATACACATATACAGTATATTAATATTGTGTGGTACTGGCAGGCAGGATATATGTTCACCTAGGTTTCTCACCTAAACTTGGTAAGGAAATCAGTGTTTATGACTGACATGGAGAAAAACTGTTTTCTCAGAATCTTCAGTTCTCTTCTGCATCCTGAAGTCGAAAAACTTTGAAGAGCAGATGGGTGGAAATAAGCCCTTAGAATCAAGGCCCACATCCTACCTGGCAGTCAGACCTTATTAGTCTCAGCTGCGCACAGGCCTTTATATACAGTATGTGAGCTGACTGATGCACAGTCAGGAACTGACATGAGTTTAGTTAGTGGGTCAGATGAGCAGCTGTTTTGGACTTGCTGTACAAAGCAATGTAGGTATGGTTAAAACATTTGATGAAGGCCTTTGACTGCCCTGAATCTCTGCTAATACACACAGAATCTCTGCTAACATACAATATATATTACATATACTGTATGTATACATACACATGTATCGCAGTTTGTGCGAGTTACAGTATAACATGCATGGTCTAACAAACTTTTTTTTTTTTTTTTTTTTAACACTATGGCCAGAAAATCTAAACCATATACAGTGCATCCAGAAAGTACTAACAGCGCTTAACTTTTGCCACATTTTATGTTACAGCCTTATTCCAAAATGGATTAAATTAATTTCTTTCCTCAGCATTCTACAAACAATACCCCATAATGACAACGTGAAAGAAGTTTGTTTTGAAATCAAAATTAACAAAAACACATGTACATAAGTATTCGCAGCCTTTGCTCAATACTTTGTTGAAGCTCTTTTAGCACCAATTACAGCCTCAAGTCATTTTGAGTATGCTGCTACAAGCTTGGCACACCTATTTTTTGGCAATTTCTCCCATTCTTCTTTGCAATGCCTCTCAAACGCTATCAGATTGGATGGGGAGCATTGGTGCACAGCCATTTTCAGATCTCTCCAGAGATGTTCAATTGGGTTCAAGTCTGGGCACTGGCTGGGCCACTCCAGGACATTCGCAGAGTTGGCCCGTAGCCACTCCTTTGTTATGTGGGCTGTGTGCTTAGGGTTGGTGTCCTGTTGAAAGATAAACAGTCACCCCAGTCTAAGGTCCAGAGTGCTCTGGAACAGGTTTTTATCAAGGATGTCTCTGTACATTGCTGCATTCATCTTTCCTTCAATCCAGACTAGTCTCCCAGTTCCTGCTGCTGAAAAACATCCCCACAGCATGATGCTGCCACCACCATGCTTTACTGTAGGGATTGTATTGGCCAGGTGGTGAGTGGTGCCTGTTTTCCTCCAGACTTGACGCTTGGCATTCAGGCCAAAGAGTTCAATTTTTGTTTCATCAGACCAGAGAGTTTTGTTTCTTACAGTTTGAGAGTCCCTGAGGTGCCTTTTGGCAAACTCCAGGCAGGCTGCCATTTGCCTTTTACCGAGGAGTGGCTTCCGTCTGGACACGTTACCATACAGGACTGATTGGTGGAGTGCTGCAGAGATGGTTGTTGTAAGAGAATTCCCGTGAGACGACTGGGGATTAGAAATGCGCATAGAAATGTGCGATCATGCACATGGCAAAGATTGGCGCCAGACAGACTATTTAAAGGGTGCCTCTGCCTGTGCTGAGTGCTGACTGGTCTTCAGCTGTTCCCCGTTTCCTGCTCATTCCTGTGTGATTTCCTTGTTGCTGACCCGGCTTGTTCCTGACCAGACTCTTAATTACTCTCCTGCTTGATACTCGTTCCTGACCTCGGCTTTGCTCCTGAGCTTTTCCTATGACATTGCTCCTCTCTCCCATCCCAGCTTCCTGCCTTGCTCTGGTGCACGCCTGGCGATCTACCATACCATCTCTGCAAATCACTACTGTTCCTGAATCGGTGGTCCATCAGTCTTTTAAGGACTCCAGCTGCAAGTGCTGCAAACATCTGCTGGCACTCTTGTCCCCCTGGTCCCTAGACACCCTCTGTTCCACTTAAAGTGGGGTCAGGGCTAGTGACACAAGTGAGGCCTACCTCGTCATTTCAGTCTCCAATCAGGTACGTGATAGTTGTTGTTCTGGAAGGTTCCCCTCTCTCCACAGTGAAACGCTGGAGCACTTTCACAGTGAACATCGGGTGCTTGGTTACCTCCCTGGCTAAGGCCCTTCTCCCTCGATCGCTCATTTTGGATGGGCGGCCTGCTCTAGGAAGATTCCTGGTGGTTCCAAACTTTTCCCATTTATGGATGGAGGCCACTGTGCTCATTGGGACCTTCAATGCTGCAGAAATATTTATGTACCCTTTTTCCAGATCTGTGCCTTGATACAATCCTGTCTTGGAGGTCTACGGACAACTCCTTGGACTTCATAGATTGGTTTGTGCACTGACATGCACTCTTAACTGTGGGACCTTATATAGAGAGGTTTATACCTTTCCTAATCATGTCCAATCAACTGAATTTACCACAAGTGAACTTCAATAAAGTTGTGGAAGCATCTCAAGGATGACCAGTGGGAACAGAGCTCAATTTTGAGTGTCATGGCAAAGGCTGTGAATATTTATGTACATGTGTTTTTTTTTTTGTCTCTTATTTTTAATAGATTGCAAAGATTTCAAAACAAACTTTTTTCACATTGTCATTATGAGATATTGTTTGTAGAATGTTGAAGGAAAAATATAAATTTAATCCATTTTGGAATAAGGCTGTAACATAACAACATGTGGCAAAAGTTAAGCGTTGTGAATACTTTCTGGATGCACTGTATGTAGATTTAACGTATAGGATATTTATTGGCAGCGATTAAATCAGTTGAGGCTGCAGATTATTCTTGAAAACGTTTCAATACTCATCCAAGCAAAATAAAAAGCTTGACTTTTGTGTTAAATTTAGGAAAGTAAAAATGCAACGTGAGCTGTATTTGTTGGTCAGCTGTAGCACCTTGAGCTTAAAGACCAATAACTTTGTGTGAACAAGAAACTTTGTATTCTTCAGTGCTTAATGTTGCTAAATCACAGGGAAGAGAAGCATGAAATTTACTATAATTATCATATTGCATCCCTCTGATGAAGTCACGTTGGCGTGATGTAACATGTAAGGGGCTTGGCTCTGGGCAGACATGAATAGTGAGTTCAGCTGAAAAGCGAAGCCTGCATCTGATGATTTTATGGCATTTTATTCATTTACTACATGTGAGTGTGTTACTGCTTCTTAATAAATGTATATACTAGTACATACTGCACCATGGGAGTGTCCTTTGTTCCCTTTTAAGGATAGAAATGTGTGACCTCCATCACCCTTAAAAAGGGACAGATTCCTGGCTCTGGTTTGACAATCTATTGAAAGCGCAAAGGTGTCTGATCACCATCACATGGTTGTGGATTGAAAAAGTGAAGAATCCTTTTGTCTATTTGATATTATAAAGCGCATTGCCATGTGCTCTGAGGTGAGAGTTCTGTGAGCACTGAGGTGGCACTATATGTTATGTGCACTGTTTCACTTGATTTTTGGGATACCAGCACAAGAAGAAGAAAACATGGAATTATGGAATAAATTCTATTACATAACATAAATTGATTGATTTTACATTTATGGACTTAGTATGGACGTTTTATTCAGTCATGTCACTTTTTCATTTTTTTGTAGTCTTTATATAGCAGCACTACATCACTTATTTTTATTTTTATTTGCTCTACTATTGTGGGAACACAATTTGATGTTGGCAGCAGCCACGTTTATCACAATTTTTATTTTATTTTCTGCTTGTGTGTTTTTTTTTTTTTTATTTCTTCTCTCTCATTGTTGAGGTAGCGCAGGGGTTTCACTCCTATATGATTATCCTCTCTCTCTAAAACTTATAGCTCTCCTCACAAATTTTGACCCTTGTTCATCAGCAGACTTTAAAGGGTAAGTTCACCTTTCAAAATAAATAAATAAGTGCACATCTTTTTGCAGGTAAAAAAAAATGTGCATTTATTGGGAACCTGTAAAGCATTGCACCCACAATCATTAGATAGTGGGTTCTATGCAGGGCTCTTGTGGACTGTGTGGCTGTCTGTTCTTACCTTCTACACCCACATGGAATAAACATATACCATATTTTCCGGCATATAAGGCGACTGGGTGTATAAGACGACCCCCGAAATTTCCAGTTAAAACATAGGTTTTGGGCTATACTCGTCGTATAAGACTACCCCCCTTCTGAGGCAACACCATTTAACCCCTAGCCTACAGGGCACTTATACCCACTTCCCCCCAGGCCAAGTTTCAGCTTTCAGTGCTGTCACACTTTGAATGACAATTGTGTGGTCATGCAACACTGTACCCATCACTGATGGGCACTGAAAGGCAGCACTGATACTTGGCACTGATAGGCAGCACTGACTGGCACTGATAGGCGGCACTGTTAGGCGGCACTGATGCACACTGTTAGGCGGCACTGATGCACACTGATAGGCAGCACTGATTGGCATCACTGATGGGCATTGACAGGCATCACTGATGGGCACTGAAAGGCAGCACTGATACATGGCACTGATAGGCGGCACTGACTGGCACTAATAGGTGGCACTGATTGGAAGCACTGACTGGCACTGATAGGTGACACTGAAAGGCAGCTCAGATGGGCACTGATATGTGGCATTGATGTGCACTGGTAGGCACTGATATGTGGCATTGATGTGGCACTGATGGACACTGACAGCTGGCATTGCTGGGGCTACACTGATCATTAGGGCACACTGATCATCAGTGCCCTGATGATCAGTGTACATGTCCCCTCCGCGGAAAGCCGATTACCGGCTCTCCTCTCCTCTCGAGCTGTCAGCGTGACAGCTCAAGAGGAGAGAAATGCCGATAACCGGCATTTCCCTGTTTACATGTGGTCAGCTGTGATTGGACACAGCTGATCACATGACCGAGTTGACATCTTCAGCTCTTTCTGTGATCGGTGATAGCTGTGTCAGAGGGACACAGCGCATCGCCGTGCATGCGCGGAAAATGGGAGGACGTCATATGAGCCAATCACGGCAAGTGATGTATTCTATTAATGAATACAGAGCCTGCTCGGATTGGCTGTGTCAGAGAGGCGGGCTGATGATGTCACAACTTCAGCCAATCCGAGCAGGCTCTGTATTCATTAATAGAATACATCTCTCGCCGTTATTGGCTCAGCGCGGTACACTGTATGTAGCTGAAGCTACCATACAGTATTACCACACATCCAGCGTTCTATACCTGGCGTATAAGACGACCCCCCAATTGTTGGGGTATGTTTTTAAGTAAAAAAAGTTGTCTTATACGCCGGAAAATACGGTATTTGAAATATATTTTAAAAATATTCTTCCCAAGTCTATTATATAGATTTGAAATGCTACACACACACACACACATATATATATATATATATATATATATATATATATATATTTATTGAGTATGGTCAAAATTATAGTATTTCAAATATATGGCAATATGTTTGGGAAGAATATTTTTAAATTATATTTCAAATACATTTTTCTTCCATATGGGCAAGCAGGCAATTATACAATGACAGGAAGTCTTAATGAACCACCACAGCACTCAACAGTGCCATGTTAGTTAATTGAGAACTACAGCCTGACAGCTGCAAAGGTTCTTGGTAGTTGTAGTTTCCCATTCATAGAATACTTTGAATGAGTGAGGCGGCCAGGTCGGCAGAGCCCCGCAGGGCCACATCTTTATTGAATTTTGGCAGCAGACATGGGGAGAAGATCCCTGGTCTGCTGTCACAGCAGGGACTTGGGGGTGTGGGGTCAGCTGCAGCAGTAACATGTTACACTCTGAATACATTTGTAACATGTTAAGGTGAACTTATCCTTTAAAACGGACCCTGTCTAAAATCTGATAATTGGTATGTGTGACAATGTTGATGGTAACAACCCTGTGCAGCACAGAAGAGAGAACTGAAAATAATTATCAGGTAGCATACAGTATATCAAATGCTCGTAATAAGCAATGCATTATGAGTACTTATTGCAACGGATAGGATATTACAAGAATGCTGCTGCAGATAACACTGAAGTTTATCCCAAAAAACAGGAGGTTGCACAGTTCTAGCTAGATGATTTGCAAGACAGTAAAGAACAGTAACCATTATCTTCTGAAAACCACACAGTAACATTAACGCAAGTACAATTAAATGAGAAACTGGGCACTTTTAAGATGCAAAGAGTTTATAAAATAGCATAGTAAGTTGTTAAAATATATCAAATCTATATTCGCATAGATGTTTTTTGTTTTGTTTTTTCCTCTTACAAACTAACCAGCGATTAGCAGGACTAACTTTGACAGTAGCATGCATGCAAGTGTTTCTGTTGGGTATGAGATGGAAGTTTTACAGACTACAAAACTTCCAAAATTGGTTTGGATGCTTTGCAAACAAAGCATTATTATTAACCGCGTGTGAGGAGAAAGGTGAGAGCGCAATCTCCAAGAGCAGTGATCTGGTCAAAAATGTTAGCACTGCAACCACTGTTTCTACATCAATTGGGAAGAAAGGAGTGTATTCAGTATGAAAAGGAAGATATCAAATACATAGAATTACCATTAGATGCAAAAAGAAAAGTTAACTTACGTATTTCTAGGTCAAGGATTATTTCCAGATCTTTAAGAATCTGTGTGACACTCAACTAAAAAAAAAAAAAATAATAAATCTCTTTTCAAAAGATGTGAATGAGGCAATAGAAGAAAAATACATAAAAGACAAAATAACATACTGCACTTTATGTTCCAAAACAACACACTTCTCACAATCTGTGATATAAAATTCAGTATCCAAAATTATATCTATAATAAACCGATATATTACCCTATATATTGACACTTAAAAGTCCCACTTTCACCCTTGAAAGTCCAAAAATTGTAAATAATAAACCTTTCTAGTATCAGTGAAAATATTTCAAAAAGCCCAAAATTTCAAACAATTATTCATTCAAGCTCTGATTCATAATCACCGGGTATCTCCAGGAATGCCGTATACCTCCAAAAGGAAAAAAAACAAAAAACTGAAGAGTGTATTATCCTCAGTATAACAGTGATTAAATCAAATTTAAGTATAATCCACAAAAAACTTTTTTTTGTGCAAACAAAAAACACTCAAAAATGTGAGCAAGATGTGAAATAGTGAAACACTCTGTGTACACGTCTATATACACATTCCTCTGTGAACACTTCTAGGTGGCTGAAATAGGTATAGTGTTTCACTATTTCACCTATTTCTTACCCTAAATAGGTAGAGTGTTTCACTATTTTACGTGTTGCTCAGATTTTTGAGTGCTTTTTGTTTGCACAAAGTTTTTTTTGTGGATTATATTTAAATTTGATTTAATTACTGTTATACTGAGGATAATACACTCTTCAGTTTTTTGTTTTCTTTTGGAGGTATACGGCATTCTTGGAGATACACAGTGATTATGAATCAGAACTTGGACAAATAATTGTTTGGAATTTTGGACTTTTTGAAATATTTTCACTGACACTAGAAAGGTTTGTTATTTACACTGCTGACAATGTTTAAACAGGGTAAAAAGTGTATAAAAAATTACAAAAATACAATTTTTCACCATATCTGGGTTTCATTTTCTGGACTTTTCAAGGTGTTTTTTTGCATTTGCCAAATATGTATACGGAATTCTTAGGTTGAATTTTTTATATGTATTTTTTGACAAGACCTAAAGAAGAGGTTGTTGGTATGTAGCCGGTCTAAAACCCATTGCAATGTGCAGTTTTGGAAAAGGTTTTAATTTAGCATAGGGCAATGTGTTATTTAATTTTTCATACTAAATTTTTTTTTCCCCTCATACTACACTCTACAAAATTTTGATATCACAGTAACTTGGATCAATTGTAATACTGTTTTGTTTAAAGGAAAAAAATAAACTAACCTGGTCATTTGGAACAGTTGCAAATTCATCTGTAACAATACTACCATCTTCAGCAGTCTGATGACACCTGAGTAAAATGAAATGTCAGTTTTGAAACTTAGAATAGTAAAAGTCATTAATAAGAGTATAAAAAAGTATAAAACCTAAATGTAATGGATTACAGTACCCCCAATTGAGCAAAAAAAAAGCACTGTGAGCATAGACTGTGGGACCCATATAGTGTGATATTTGTTTTATATATCATCGTAAAAAAAATTTTTTAACTGCAGACCTTAAAAACTTATTATTGCTGTAAGGTAAATATGAAAGTTAAGGATTTGGTTTAATTACAAAATCAGTGTTTTACAGTTTTGTTTTTTTTTTTAATCTCTGATGCTTTTCATTAAAGTATCCTACTAGCTGCCTGAAATCTCAGAGGAGCCAAACCCCTGGACACTGCACAAAAACTATTAACCAACAACATAGCAATGTCCAAGCTGTAAAGATAAAAATACATTTATTTAAATTCGTGAACTGCAGCATGCCTTTTATGGTACATCAAAACAAAATAAACATAAGAATATAGGTTGAAAAATAACCACCATGATTATTTTATAATAATGCTGGTTTAACAGCCTATTAAACAGTCAAAGGATTAGATTTTCTGTCCTTCCAGTCTTGAAATTTACAAAGCATTATCAGACAAAACAGCGAGATATATGGCACCACTTACAGCTAAAGCCCAACTGAACAACTCCATGAAGGGTCTGCAGCACACATGAGGCTGTTAGATAATGAGTTTATGCGAAATCTCCATTAACCACTGTAAATAATATTGTAATTATGAATATATTTCAGTTAGAGCTGTACCAATGTGGATGTGTAATATGTCTTTTTATAAATCTCTTTTCTATAGTTAGTTAGGGGTAGTTTAAGTTGCTAGAGGGAATATTCAATTAATTACAATTTCTTTATTGTGTACAGAAGTCTTAACACTCCTCTGTCAGACGGTTTGGTGCCAGAGTTAATTTAAGGATGGGACCCAAACCTGTTGGCTTTACAAACATCCACTTCAAAGGAGCCCTCATTTAGATATGCAATGAAGTTGGCCAGCCTTTCTTGGATACTTCATTTCCCAGGAAAAGGTCATCAACTGGCATACTTAATTTCCAAAAAAGGGTGTGCCAATATGTGCCTTAAAGGGGGTTGGTGTATGCTAAATGCAGGGGATTTGAAGTTAGCCAGTTATGAAAGGGAATAGATTTGCAAACCAATTAGAGCTACTCCATGAAAATTAATGGAGGAGAGGCCTATAACAATAGACACTAGATGGAGAAAGATGTCTCTTTGGAACACAAGTTAGGAGAATGGGGCCCATATGTACAGTTCCATTGTAATTATGGTATATATCCCTTGCACTTATATCTAAATGTTTGTCTTATGTCTTGTCTCACAGTTTGTATTTTGTAATATGTTAGAGCTTTCCTAAAAATGTTTCTTTTATGTAACTAGATCGATTTGTGTTAGTTTAGACCTCCATACTATTCAACAATAAATTTTGGTTGTTGTGTTTAAACCTTTCACTTCCGGGTAAAAACTCAATTTACCACATCATATCATTCATGTATCGTATTGCATGACCGCGCAATTGTCCGTTAAACTAGCGCAGCACTGTATAGCAAAAAAATGGCGTAAATTGCAGTATTTATACCATGGTTTGTGGATGCTATAACTTCCACACAAAGCAATCAATGTACACTTCTTGGGGTTTTTTTTTTTTACCAAAAAAACATGTAGCAGAATACATTTTGGCCTAAATTTATAACCAACTTTGAGTTTACTATATATTTTTTATAGCTGAAAGTAAAAAAATATAATTTTTTCTTCAATATTTTTTGCCGTTTTTTTGTTTATATAGCGTGAAAAATAAAAGCACACAGGTGATCAAATACCACCGAAAGAAAGCTGTATTTGTGTGAAAAAAAGGACGTACATTTCGTTTGGGTGCAGCATTGCATGACCGCGCAATTATCAGTTGAATTAGTGCAGC